ACAAGGTTGTGGCGACTGTCTCATTTTGAGGCCGTGAGCGATGGCGGTGTTTACCGACTCTCAACCCACAAATTCGTATGGGGTCCCCAAGGCCCCCTGCTGGACAAAAACTGTCACTACACTAAATGTAAAAATAAACCCATTCCTTATTCAGGAGATGCTGAAGGAGCATGTTCTGCTAACCAGCTAGCTAGCTACCATATTCTGACTCTTGTCTATTTATTTAGATTTTGAACCATCTGGGGGGTGATTTTTGAGTAGGACCCCAGGAAGAACAAACCCGCCTGCATCTGTAGCTTTCAGCATCCAGTCTCCCTAATATTAGGTTCATATCTTATTCACCCTGGATTATGCTTTTAAACAAAACCACTTAATGTGGCCCTTCAGGCAAATATTGCTCACAGGGTCTTTCTGGCACGAATTTAAATTTGTGGACTTCAGCCTCAAAGCTGTCCCTGATTTAATATGACCCCCCCACCAGAAGATCACAGAAGCTCCGGACGTGTCTGAGAAAATCGGGAATGTGGGTGAATTCAAACCAACAGACGCATAGATAGTCTGCTCCAGTACATAAACCTACATCGGCACTTTTAAAGGCCTGTCCCCATTACTTGTTTTAAATAACACTCAAACCCGCCCGACCTTCTGTACTGTGGCCAGCGGCTTGCAGGCGCAGGAAGCAGGCGAAGGCGGTAATGACAGCTCTGCTTCCACTACTCCTAACCCTCCCTCTGTAATTCAGAAAGCCGTGGCAGATGCCAGCTGATTTGAACCTGAGAAATTATGGGGTTTAGGGCTGGACCGTATTGGAACTCCACCATTTTTGGGGTTCACGCTCCTGGGTGGCTGGATTTCAGACCCAGAGCCAAAGCCACCCAGGTCCCGTAACGAGAACCATATCTCTGACTTCCCAAAGACCTCAAACTTCTGCTGTCTGTAAAGGTGGAGCCAGATGAATAGACCCCCTCTCAGGATTCACACCACAAAGACAATGCCTTCCTCGAAGACCCCCCCTCAGGATTCACACCATAAAGACAATGCCCTTCCTCGACACCTATTGTGTTTCCTTTCCTGAGTTTGCTCTAGATGGAAGCTGGTGAAGGTGGTGTCCTCTGGCATTTTTTCCTTTGATCTTAGTCTTCTGTCTACACTGCTAATGCTTGGCACGTCTATGTTTACACTCAATGTTTAGGATTTAAAGACATTACTTGCACACCCCCCAAAGGTTTCGGTCACTATGGAGGGTTGGGGAGGGGGGTTCATGCATCTGAGGGTCTTTATTCAGCTCGTTGACTTAATTACCTCTGCAGGTGAGTTACGCCAGCAATTACACTGAACTCTGCGACACTGTAACTCTTTATACTCAGCTGGTTGCCTGAAACGAAAACTTGGCCTGGATTTTTACTTTCTGGGCCTGAACTATCCACCTCTGACTGAATGGCTTATAATCAGGCCATTGTATAACCCAGCAGAATGGATTCTTACCATGGTTTCCACAGAATCCACAGAATGTTACACAAAGCTCAGGACCGGTTCACGCACGAGGGGACATAGGCGCCATCCCCACAGAATCCATCATACACCAGCACCACATGGGCTGCAGTATATGAAATTATAAGCTGGTACAGTAACATAAGGCAGGTGATTTTTCCAGTCCCAGTTACCGATTCAATATAGGCTATTATGCTCTTGCGCTAGCGGCCTATAATAAACGGTGGTGGAAATTTCGGTTTCTTTAAATCCCGAATAGTATTTGCTGTTATATTTGTACATGGTGCATGAGGGCGTATCAAGAGGTGAAACACAAATGACAAACCTGTGCCGGAGCCTTTTTCACACGATCCTTTATGTGCCTGGGAGACAGCGGGCAATCCCCGCTGCAGAGCCTTCCTGCTAACAGCCTTTAGCTGGCACACGTTGCCGTACGTCTTGCCGTCGCTGCCACACACCTTGTGGCCCATTTTGCACTGGCAGACGCCCTTCGAGAGCCGCTTGCCGGCCGGGTGCCTGCACTCCAGCCCGTCCCCGCACGGCAGGTCCTCCTTCCGCCCGCAGGGGTCGCCCTCCGCGCTGGCGCACACCAGGCAGCAGTTGCAGCGGTCCGGGACGTAGCCGCTCGGACAGCTGGGGCTCGGGCACCGGCTCACGTCGCACCGGGACGGGCAGCTGGTCCTGGGCTCGGCGCCAATGAAGTTCTCAATAGAAAGCAAAGCCGCAGCGATTACTAAGGTCTGCATTCTCCACCTCGAAACAGATCCGCAAAACAGGAACCAAAATGTGCCTTAAACCAGCAATGAACTATATACAAAAGTTAAAATGTTAAAATAGGTAACATAATGTTTCCCTGGGCAGCATGCGTCCAAGTGCTGAATCTGTTTTCCGTAGAGGTAAATCCCTATTTCACTGGTTAATTAGTTTGCTGTATATGGATTCATAAAAGTAAAAAATATGACTGACAGCAGTAACATGAGAAATAAAAAAATAAGCGTTTTGAAATGAAAAGGCTATTTAGAAAACAACAAATGGCATAAATGACTAAAAAAGCTACATTGTTTTATAGAGGTCGGTGGTGCTCTTGTGCAAAGAGCTCATGTATGCGGACGGCAGGTTTTAAGGTTGAAAGTAGCCTAAAGGTTTTAGTGGGATAGTAGAGATCTGCCTCCTCCTCCCTGGCTGGGGGTATGGACCACCTCCCGGAGACCCCCCCCTCCCCCCGCCCCCAAGGCTGCGGTTTTGCTGGTCCAAACCCGATATTTAAGTTTCTGACAAAATTACAGGTTCGAACGATCGTTAAAAGTGCGTCCATTTTCCAAAGTGCGGAATACGCGCATTGCATTGCACAAACCGCCGTTAAAACCTCTAGAAAGTGAACTCGTCTCGAGTTTATGGATAGTTTTCATATTATATTTGCAACTGCGGATAATATCCTTCCCTCCTTTTAGCTGCGATACATTTTCTGTAGCATTACATCTAGAGATGGTTGGAAATTAAGCTTTGTTTATATGCTTTATCATCCTATTAGGATATGTTTGTATCTCTCTCTTCGGCTGGCTGACAGGCAGAAGGATTAAGCTTATCTGACCGAAAGATAAAGAAATGAACGATTTAAAATTATGTATGAAATTGCCAGTGAGGTCCCATTGCAATTTAAGCGCAAACAGCATTTCTAAGTCGCCGGGGTAAACAAAGTATTGTCCTCAAAGTTTATATGCAGATCGACCCAAATCCCAAGGGTGGATAACGATCGACGTGGGCCAATTGCGGCTAAAAATAATAAAAGAGGAATATTTTGAACGTTGTGTGGGTTAGATGTTAATCGCGTTCAAAAGGAACGTTTCTGAAAAATGCCATTCGTTGTGACGGTAGCAAGAAAATACTATTTACATTATGTAAGTTTATGAGTTTATGTAAACGCGAATTGACAGATAGAATTGACAGCCAAGGTGAAACGGGATACAATTAAAAATAGCACAAACAAAAACTTAATGCCTGAAGTTTTCATTGTGTACGATGAACCTTCTATTTTGAGCGTTCAAACCCAGCGATGAGCTTTACAAGTGTACTGAGCCTTTCTCTGTGGTTTCTCTCGGTACACCAACACCCAAAAACGCTACAGTCATAATACTTTAGAAGGCTTCTGGAGTCATAAACAAACAATCCAAGTAATCCTATTTCTGGGGCCAGAAGCGTTATCATATTACAACTGAGTGGTTTTTAAACAAATAAATGAATGTAACACGAAGTTGCCACACCATTGAGCTTCTGCTGTCCTTCATGAAAAGTCTGTGCTAGAAAAATAAGCGAGCGATCTTACCAATAACTATCCATCCAAACAGATCCTGGAGCGTCACTTTACGAAAGGGGGGGGGAGGGCTTTACTGGCAGGGTCTGATGGAAATGCTCCACATTATTTAATCTAAATAAAAAAAAACTTCATTTATTTGAGGGGGTGAAGAACATTATAGAGTGGGTAAATCTCCCTAAAACTGTCCTGAGTTGGACACCAGTATCCCTGGCTCTGAGAATTAAAAAGGCAGTAGATCCACATATCGTGAGCCCTGCTATTTTGGGTGAGTGCCAGGCATGGGCACTGCCCTCTGTGTGAGCCTCACCATGCGATGCCCTTCATGAATGCTACGTTAGCACTTATCTGCTAGTGTGCAGGCCTCATGCAATCTCTGCAGTCGTCTGCGGGTCATTGTAGGTCAAGCTACCGGGCGTTAAAGTACAACGCTCAGTGGCAAAGAAGAAAAAAAACAAGCAGAACCGTTGCGACATTTCGTACGATGCATTTCATAGAGTGACGACGGGAAGCTGTGAGGCTTGTATGTAGCTATGGGGACTTTCCCCCCCCCCACTCCATATCTGACTCTGAGGGTTTACTTTGCTTTGCCTGGTTTATTTCCCAGACCTGTTAATTATTCGTGGGTTTTCGCATTCTTAAACGGCAGGGATCCAGTTTTATTTAAGCTTTCATCAACGTCCGTAGCTATTATTTGGTTATTTGGTATGATGTGTAATATATATATGTATATACCACAACCAATAAGAGGAAATTGCAGGCTTAAAAAGAGAGAAGGAATGAATACCAAAGTATTTTGACGTCCAGACATGGTTTATGACATGATCTGTCTGGCTCTAAGCACATTGAAACAGTTAGTTTAGACCAAACATGCGTGTCATGCGTGTTTTTGGAGACCCATGCAGATATTTGTGATTTTGGTTTCAAAAACTGGGAGCACGGCCATGTTAGACAAAGCATGCAGGTATTATACTGAAGAAAACGCGCGAAGGTGAGATTTTGCGGCCTGTTTGTCTTGGATGCTCCGGCCATGAATGCTGAACAGCTGATAAATACGGGCCAGCGGCAGGAAGAGCCGACCCAAGTGTCATCATCCTGCTCACTGATGGCAAGTTTCAATAATAAAGGAGTATAACGCAAACCCCCCCCCCCGCTCTGCCCAGGAACGCGGAACAAAGCAGGAAGTACAAAGCCAGGCCCTCAGCACCCCTCACTGCCTCATGCTGTCTCCAAAGCAGTCGCTGTTTCATAACATAATGTGGCCTGAAATGTATGAAGTGAAATACATCCGGGGCCCAGTGGCGGCTGAAGTGTCACCCGACTTTAACACGAAACCCCGGACGCTGAGCCGTCCGCAGCAGTAAATGGATTTGGGAGGGCTGGGACACGGTGGATGCGGTCGGTCTTCTCCACGATGGAAGATCTTTCATGCTGCAGCCAGTAAATGCAGGGATGTGAACATCTGATTCAAGAAGATATTCAGGTTAGTGGTTTTATTCAAACTGCAGCTTCTGAAAGACCACCGAAGCCTGGTATAGGGGAACCGATGTCACCTTGTCCCCCACCCCCCGCCCAAATCTACCTGGGTATCCATGTTCCTACACAAAGACATAACTATGCGTTGAGCATTTGGGGCGGAGGGTGTTGCGGTCTCCCCCTATCTAAGGGGGTCCATTGGGTTGTATTTGATGCTTTTGGTTTGTGGGAGGGGGGCTACAACCCCCCTATAATTTACACCCATGCCCTTACTGCACTCTTGCCTATGGGTCATCTGTGGCGGGGGTTTAAGTTTCCCCTCAGCAATGATTTTAGCAAGGATAGAAAATCTTGTGAGGTACACGCCCACCTCAAGCTGTCCAGTGGTACCCTTGGGACTTCCTGCCTCAGGACCACACAGGACTGGAACCGTCCTTTTTTCTGGGACCCTGAAACACCAGTCAATGGCCTGCATTCCATTGTCTCCTGGGTTTAGACCCATGTTTGAACCAGTAAGGAGATGATGAGCAAAACTCCCATGATTCCATTCTCTGTTGCCATTCCACCAGGCAGTACTCAAAGCAGAATGAGAACCCGGATTTCCCAGTTGTTCACAGGAGCTTTTAACTCACGGTATCCTGTCTTTGCTTCATCACCTGTCTCCTCGTCACGGTCACTGTTGAAAACCGCTACCTGAGACAGACAGACATAGCTCTTTTTGCCACATTAAGATGTTACAGGTCGCTTGTGGAATGAGCCTTTTCCAAATCTGGAAACTAAATTCATGAAATCCAGATGGACAGAGGGTATAACAGATGGGAGGGAAATGTAATTAAAAGCTGCACTACCCTGAAACGGATCTTCACACTTGGTACAGCCATTGTTTACTCACGTCTTCGTGGTGGCAGATGATGACATATTAAAGTAGATAAATGACTAGCACGTTTGCCAACAACAGCGCATAAATCTTTTGTCTGCATAGTAATGAAAAGAAACACGGTCCCGCATGTGGGGGGGGGGGGTTCTAACTCAAATGTTTCCAGTGCCCTACCTCTGCCAGCTGTTTCCAGCTGTATATCACCCAGCCTCACGGCCCTGGACATCCAGACGCAGCCGTTTCCTCAGGCCTTGGACACCACTTAACACCTATACCAGGCATTAATAATCAGTCTTGTCAGCCATGTTGCGGATTTCCACTGTTTGGGAGCAGCACTTACCAGAGAATTCTGTGCAGCTTGTGGAATGGCCATTTTTCAATGCACATTTCATTACAGACTTTCCAATTTCTTTCATGAGCCAAACTGCAGAGCGATGAAATATTTTCCTTAAAATCACAGACACGCAAGCTGTTTTTTCCCCCCATAATGCACAAAAAGGACAGCAAGGATGACCATGATTCATCACTTACACATAAAATTTCCAGAAATATAATCCTCTGAGCTACACATTCAGGCTTCAATGCATCTGGGGGTTCTGGAGATTATTATTATTATAATTATAATCATCATCGATACTTTATTGATGAGAGAAAGCTGTACGGTAATGGGATTTCAGGGAGAATAAGTGAATGACATTCACTTTCACAACAGAAATAATACTGAAGTGAATATTAACTCCTGTAAGGGATTTAGATGTTATGAATGTCAGGGCCACCTAGTGGACAAATTCACAAAGTGATTTCAAAGTGAAAGGCGCCCCCATGTGACCAGATTCTCAAAGTCGGTGACAAAAGTCAAAACTATGTTGGGATGCACGAAAACTAAGACAGACAATTTTTGATATTAAACGATTCCCAAATTTATTCAATACTTTTAAATACACATTGCAAACTACATAAAGTTTTACAATCATCTTCCTTAAAGAGTATGAAGCCCAAGACAATTTACAGAGGTTTGTAGGCTAAATGCCACCCAACGATCACAGTCCATTGTCATTATTCAGCCACAGCACCAGGGGGCGCTGTGTGCAGCCAGCAGGTATTCATCAAATACATTCATTGCAATAAAAAATACTAGGTCAGCAGTATTCCTTTACTCCGAAATATCCAAAAACTGTAAACTCGCAGATACATTCAGGCAACCGATTTTCAAAATATTCAAGTCTTTTTAAACCTGTTGACTTTTAAAATTCTCCTAAAAAGTTTGGCAGTTGAAAGCTGACGCCTAACACTGGCAACACACACACACTTTGGCTTTTCTGCGCGGATCCCTCGTCGAGCCATTGAGCCAGAGAAGCGTATCCCGTGAGGCCGGTGAAGCCTGCCGCTTACCGGGGGGCCCCGGCGGGGGGGCTCTACCAGGACGAGAAAAAGGGCCTCTTGCAGTGGAACGTCTGGGTGAAAGCGCTGCCCAGCTGCA